TGGTGCTTTTGGAGACGTGTGTGTTGTGCGATGGGTGAGCTGGGACGCGGGGGGGTTTGGGGGGGCCTCAGCTGTGGTCCAGATTATTAAACAGTCTTATTATGTGTGTGGTGAGCCCTGAGGTAGGAGGGTGAAGCACAGTCGGGCGGCACGGTGGCTGAGTGGATAGCACTCTCGCCTCTCAGCAAGAAGGTCCTGGGTTCGAATCCCGGCCGGACCAGGGCCTTTCTGAGTGGAGTTTGCATGTTCTCCCCGTGTCTGCGTAGGTTTCCTCCGGGTGCTCCGGTTTCCCCTACCACTAAAAATATGTCCAATAGTTCTGGCATGTGCCTCCTGTACTGGCCCCGCTCCCATCTCTGTGTGGAGTGAGAGACAAATGCCCAAAAATTAACAATTGTAAACCGCTTTGAGACTCAGATCTGCAGTGAAAAGGCGGTATATAAATACAAACTTACTTACTTACAGTGAAAAATAGAGCCCGAGCGCGGCGCCCAAACCCACGGCGAGCGAGCTAACAAGCTTTCACTTTGAGACGTCAGAATTCAATTAGCACAGACGCCCCGTCCCAGCGGCTGAGGGGGGAGAAGGGGGGAAGAGGAGTGAGCAGTGAAGTGAGCGGAGATGGGTTCATATGGTGCACAATCTAATTCATTTGTGTTTAATGACTTTGAGAGCAGCAACACAGGCGGTTAGCTTAGCCTCACTCACAGCAACACAGGCGGTTAGCTTAGCCTCACTCACAGCAACACAGGCGGTTAGCTTAGCCTCACTCACAGCAACACAGGCGGTTAGCTTAGCCTCACTCACAGCAACACAGGCGGTTAGCTTAGCCTCACTCACAGCAACACAGGCCTTATATCAGCGGTAGCTTAGGGTGTATTCAGACCTGAAAAGTCCTTTGCTCCGCTTGCTTGATCCGAATCAAAAGTGGACCAAATTTTTTTCTTTTGCTCCGGTTCGTTTTCAGACCGTCCTTTTTGCAAGTGAACTTTTTTATACAAACATATGGACACGTGTGACGATCGGCTCCTATTGGACAGAGCTCACGGAGGATAGACTCGGAACCAGAGGAAAACATTGAGGGCTCGTATGTGCAGCATGTTTGCTCTGCCTGTGTTTGCTCTTTTTAGAGCAAAACCACCTTCAACATCAGCAGCAGCTCATATGACGCAGGCCAAACACGTTGTTTTAAATATTGGAACAGCGTCGGAGAATGCGTGAGGAGAAAGCCGAAGGAGACTGTGCGCTCCGTGTCCTGTCCCACACATGGATCTATGATAATAACCCTGTCCCACACATGGATCTATGATAATAACTCTGTCCACACATGGATCTATGATAATAACCCTGTCCCACACATGGATCTATGATAATAACTCTGTCCCACACATGGATCTATGATAATAACTCTGTCCCACACATGGATCTATGATAATAACTCTGTCCCACACATGGATCTATGATAATAACTCTGTCCCACACATGGATCTATGATAATAACTCTGTCCCACACATGGATCTATGATAATAACTCTGTCCCACACATGGATCTATGATAATAACTCTGTCCCACACATGGATCTATGATAATAACTCTGTCCCACACATGGATCTATGATAATAACTCTGTCCCCACACATGGATCTATGATAATAACTCTGTCCCACACATGGATCTATGATAATAACTCTGTCCCACACATGGATCTATGATAATAACTCTGTCCCACACATGGATCTATGATAATAACTCTGTCCCACACATGGATCTATGATAATAACTCTGTCCCACACATGGATCTATGATAATAACTCTGTCCCACACATGGATCTATGATAATAACTCTGTCCCACACATGGATCTATGATAATAACTCTGTCCCACACATGGATCTATGATAATAACTCTGTCCCACACATGGATCTATGATAATAACTCTGTCCCACACATGGATCTATGATAATAACTCTGTCCCACACATGGATCTATGATAATAACTCTGTCCCACACATGGATCTATGATAATAACTCTGTCCCACACATGGATCTATGATAATAACTCTGTCCCACACATGGATCTATGATAATAACTCTGTCCCACACATGGATCTATGATAATAACTCTGTCCCACACATGGATCTATGATAATAACTCTGTCCCACACATGGATCTATGATAATAACTCTGTCCCACACATGGATCTATGATAATAACTCTGTCCCACACATGGATCTATGATAATAACTGTCCCACACATGGATCTATGATAATAACTCTGTCCCACACATGGATCTATGATAATAACTCTGTCCCACACATGGATCTATGATAATAACTCTGTCCCACACATGGATCTATGATAATAACTCTGTCCCACACATGGATCTATGATAATAACTCTGTCCCACACATGGATCTATGATAATAACTCTGTCCCACACATGGATCTATGATAATAACTCTGTCCCACACATGGATCTATGATAATAACTCTGTCCCACACATGGATCTATGATAATAACTCTGTCCCACACATGGATCTATGATAATAACCCTGTCCCACACATGGATCTATGATAATAACTCTGTCCCACACATGGATCTATAATAATAACTCTGTCCCACACATGGATCTATGATAATAACTCTGTCCCACACATGGATCTATGATAATAACTCTGTCCCACACATGGATCTATGATAATAACCCTGTCCCACACATGGATCTATGATAATAACTCTGTCCCACACATGGATCTATGATAATAACTCTGTCCCACACATGGATCTATGATAATAACCCTGTCCCACACATGGATCTATGATAATAACTCTGTCCCACACATGGATCTATGATAATAACCCTGTCCCACACATGGATCTATGATAATAACTGTCCCACACATGGATCTATGATAATAACTCTGTCCCACACATGGATCTATGATAATAACCCTGTCCCACACATGGATCTATGATAATAACCCTGTCCCACACATGGATCTATGATAATAACTCTGTCCCACACATGGATCTATGATAATAACTCTGTCCCACACATGGATCTATGATAATAACTCTGTCCCACACATGGATCTATGATAATAACTCTGTCCCACACATGGATCTATGATAATAACTCTGTCCCACACATGGATCTATGATAATAACCCTGTCCCACACATGGATCTATGATAATAACTCTGTCCCACACATGGATCTATGATAATAACTCTGTCCCACACATGGATCTATGATAATAACTCTGTCCCACACATGGATCTATAATAATAACTCTGTCCCACACATGGATCTATGATAATAACTCTGTCCCACACATGGATCTATGATAATAACTCTGTCCCACACATGGATCTATGATAATAACCCTGTCCCACACATGGATCTATGATAATAACTCTGTCCCACACATGGATCTATGATAATAACTCTGTCCCACACATGGATCTATGATAATAACTCTGTCCCACACATGGATCTATGATAATAACTCTGTCCCACACATGGATCTATGATAATAACCCTGTCCCACACATGGATCTATGATAATAACGGCCCTGTTCAGCATTGTGGATAAACCATGGATCTATAATAACCACGGGACAAACAGACGCTGAGGATCAGTAGGAACCAAAGAACACAGTTCACTACGTGATGCAGAATATTGCTCTTTGAGACGTGAGTAAAACAGTGTCAGGTTTTTAATAATGCAAATGATTTGCAGATGCTGCATTAACATCACTGTAAACTGTGAACAGTGTAACTCCATAAGCCTGTTGCACAGCGTCTCCTCACTGCTCCAGGTCTGCACACGGCTCAGTGTTGTTGTGTAGCGTTAGCATCATAGTTAGCATCATAGTTAGCAGCATAGTTAGCAGCATAGTTAGCCGCTGCGTGGCTAATTCCTCAGTTTCCGTCTGCGGCTTGTTAAGCCCAAAAAATGCGCACGTATCTTGGAGTTGTGTCGGATCGACACCGGATGTATTCAGACCTGATTCGACTTGGACCAGAATTTGTTTGGAAGCGGACCGAGACCACCTAAAAAAGTGGGTCTCGGTTCGGTTCTTTGGTCCGGACCAGGATTTGTTTGTGTGTATTCAGACCTGCATAAAAGCTTCGGATCAGAGTTCCAAATGAATCCTGGTCCGTTTAAAGTGGAGCAAATGTGCAGGTCTGATTACACCCTTAGCCTCACACACAGCAACACAAGTTAAAATACCGATAGTTTCAGACACTAATCTGTGAACAGGAGTCGGCTCCGTGAATGTTTGCGTCCACATGAATTAAGTAATATGCCAGGCCTGTGGGTGGCGCTGTGACACACTGCCAGGCCTGTGGGTGGCGCTGTGACACACTGCCAGGCCTGTGGGTGGCGCTGTGACACACTGCCAGGCCTGTGGGTGACGCTGTGACACACTGCCAGGCCTGTGGGTGGCGCTGTGACACACTGCCAGGCCTGTGGGTGGCGCTGTGACACACTGCCAGGCCTGTGGGTGACGCTGTGACACACTGCCAGGCCTGTGGGTGGCGCTGTGACACACTGCCAGGCCTGTGGGTGACGCTGTGACACACTGCCAGGCCTGTGGGTGACGCTGTGACACACTGCCAGGCCTGTGGGTGGCGCTGTGACACACTGCCAGGCCTGTGGGTGGCGCTGTGACACACTGCCAGGCCTGTGGGTGACGCTGTGACACACTGCCAGGCCTGTGGGTGACGCTGTGACACACTGCCAGGCCTGTGGGTGGCGCTGTGACACACTGCCAGGCCTGTGGGTGACGCTGTGACACACTGCCAGGCCTGTGGGTGGCACTGTGACACACTGCCAGGCCTGTGGGTGGTGCTGTGACATGGAGTGTTGCATATTGACTTTCTCACAGAACCTGCGTCTGTCATAACATGATCCTGGTGTTGATTACAATCCCTCAGTATAAAGTGTAACATGTTTCTTCCTGGTTCTTCCTGGTTCTTCCTGGTCCAGAGTCGAGGCGCCCACGCGTACCGCAGTCTTCCTCGTGATGCCAGTGGATGGAACACACACTTCCAGAGAGAGATCACCAGGTCCTCCTTGAGTGCTAACCACCCCATGATGGAGAGGCTCCTGTACCAGCAAGACCAGGTGTGTGTTTGTGTGTGTGAGAGGCTCCTGTACCAGCAAGACCAGGTGTGTGTTTGTGTGTGTGAGAGGCTCCTGTACCAGCAAGACCAGGTGTGTGTTTGTGTGTGTGAGAGGCTCCTGTACCAGCAAGACCAGGTGTGTGTGTGGGTGTGTGTGAGAGGCTCCTGTACCAGCGAGACCAGGTGTGTGTTTGTGTGTGTGAGAGGCTCCTGTACCAGCAAGACCAGGTGTGTGTTTGTGTGTGTGAGAGGCTCCTGTACCAGCAAGACCAGGTGTGTGTGTGTGTTTGTGTGTGTGAGAGGCTCCTGTACCAGCAAGACCAGGTGTGTGTGTGTGTGTGTGTGTGTGTGAGAGGCTCCTGTACCAGCGAGACCAGGTGTGTGTTTGTGTGTGTGAGAGGCTCCTGTACCAGCGAGACCAGGTGTGTGTTTGTGGGTGTGTGAGTGTGAGAGGCTCCTGTACCAGCAAGACCAGGTGTGTGTGTGTGTGTGTGAGAGGCTCCTGTACCAGCAAGACCAGGTGTGTGTTTGTGTGTGTGAGAGGCTCCTGTACCAGCGAGACCAGGTGTGTGTTTGTGTGTGTGAGAGGCTCCTGTACCAGCAAGACCAGGTGTGTGTTTGTGGGTGTGAGAGAGGCTCCTGTACCAGCAAGACCAGGGTGTGTGTGTGTGTGTGTGTGTGTGTGTGTGTGAGAGGCTCCTGTACCAGCAAGACCAGGTGTGTGTTTGTGTGTGAGAGGCTCCTGTACCAGCAAGACCAGGTGTGTGTTTGTGGGTGTGAGAGAGGCTCCTGTACCAGCAAGACCAGGTGTGTGTGTGTGTGTGTGTGTGTGTGTGTGTGAGAGGCTCCTGTACCAGCGAGACCAGGTGTGTGTTTGTGTGTGTGAGAGGCTCCTGTACCAGCGAGACCAGGTGTGTGTGTGTGTGAGAGGCTCCTGTACCAGCAAGACCAGGTGTGTGTGTGTGTGTGTGGGTGTGTGTGAGAGGCTCCTGTACCAGCAAGACCAGGTGTGTGTGTGTGTGTGTGGGTGTGTGTGAGAGGCTCCTGTACCAGCGAGACCAGGTGTGTGTGTGTGTGTGAGAGGCTCCTGTACCAGCGAGACCAGGTGTGTGTGTGTGTGAGAGGCTCCTGTACCAGCAAGACCAGGTGTGTGTAGACCCAGGACTGAGGCTGTAGACCCAGGACGGTTGTAGACCCAGGACTGAGGCTGTAGACCCAGGACTGAGGCTGTAGACCCAGGACTGAGGCTGTAGACCCAGGACTGAGGCTGTAGACCCAGGACTGAGGCTGTAGACCCAGGACTGAGGCTGTAGACCCAGGACTGAGGCTGTAGAGCCAGGACTGAGGCTGTAGACCCAGGACTGAGGCTGTAGACCCAGGACTGAGGCTGTAGACCCAGGACTGAGGCTGTAGACCCAGGACTGAGACTGTAGACCCAGGACTGAGGCTGTAGACCCAGGACTGAGGCTGTAGACCCAGGACTGAGGCTGTAGACCCAGGACTGAGGCTGTAGACCCAGGACTGAGGCTGTAGACCCAGGACTGAGGCTGTAGACCCAGGACTGAGGCTGTAGACCCAGGACTGAGGCTGTAGACCCAGGACTGAGACTGTAGACCCAGGACTGAGGCTGTAGACCCAGGACTGAGGCTGTAGACCCAGGACTGAGGCTGTAGACCCAGGACTGAGGCTGTAGACCGAGGACTGAGGGCTGGTAAACCCAGGACTGAGGCTGTAGACCCAGGACTGAGGCTGGTAAACCCAGGACTGAGGCTGTAGACCCAGGACTGAGGCTGGTAGACCCAGGACTGAGGCTGTAGACCGAGGACTGAGGCTGGTAAACCCAGGACTGAGGCTGTAGACCCAGGACTGAGGCTGTAGACCCAGGACTGAGGCTGTAGACCGAGGACTGAGGCTGGTAAACCCAGGACTGAGGCTGTTGACCCAGGACTGAGGCTGGTAAACCCAGGACTGAGGCTGTAGACCCAGGACTGAGGCTTTAGATCCAGGACTGAGGCTGTAGATCCAGGACTGAGGCTGGTAGACCCAGGACTGAGGCTGTAGACCCAGGACTGAGGCTGGTAGACCCAGGACTGAGGCTGTAGACCCAGGACTGAGGCTGGTAGACCCAGGACTGAGGCTGGTAGACCCAGGACTGAGGCTGTAGACCCAGGACTGAGGCTGTAGACCCAGGACTGAGGCTGTAGACCCAGGACTGAGACTGTAGACCCAGGACTGAGGCTGTAGACCCAGGACTGAGACTGTAGACCCAGGACTGAGGCTGTAGACCCAGGACTGAGGCTGGTAGACCCAGGACTGAGGCTGTAGACCCAGGACTGAGGCTGTAGACCCAGGACTGAGGCTGTAGACCCAGGACTAAGGCTGGTAGACCCAGGACTGAGGCTGTAGACCCAGGACTGAGGCTGTAGACCCAGGACTGAGGCTGTAGACCCAGGACTGAGGCTGTCTCAGTAACATTTGTGTGACATCACCATTTGGCCTTAAATCTGTGGTTTATCGCTCTTTGATCAATCCTGGTGTTGTAAATCCTGTTATGAGCTGTTGACCAATCAGAGGACTTCATTTGTGAGAGAAACTCCGCCAGCCTTAGCAACCGCCTTAGCAACCGTCTTAGCAACCGCCTTAGCGACCGTCTTAGCAACCGCCTTGGCGACCGTCTTTGCAACCGTCTTAGCAACCGCCTTAGCAACCGTCTTAGCAACCGTCTTAGCGACCGTCTTAGCTACCGTCTTAGCAACCGTCTTAGCAACCGCCTTAGCAACCGTCTTAGCAACCGCCTTAGCAACCGCCTTAGCAACCGTCTTAGCAACCGTCTTAGCGACCGTCTTAGCTACCGTCTTAGCAACCGTCTTAGCAACCGCCTTAGCAACCGTCTTAGCAACCGCCTTAGCAACCGCCTTAGCAACACATCTCTCCCTGTTACTGCACAGAGCTAGCATCGTGACTTGCTCGGTGCAAAGTTGTGATAATATTTCTTTCCTTTGATAAAACAGTTGCCAAAGAAAGTGAGTAAACCCCGGGGGAGGGGCTAGGAGTCTGCTCAGAGGACTGAGGGGAGAGCAGTGGAGGTGTCTGCTCAGAGGACTGAGGGGAGAGCAGTGGAGGAGTCTGCTCAGAGGACTGAGGGGAGAGCAGTGGAGGAGTCTGCTCAGAGGACTGAGGGGAGAGCAGTGGAGGAGTCTGCTCAGAGGACTGAGGGGAGAGCAGTGGAGGAGTCTGCTCAGAGGACTGAGGGGAGAGCAGTGGAGGAGTCTGCTCAGAGGACTGAGGGGAGAGCAGTGGAGGTGTCTGCTCAGAGGACTGAGGGGAGAGCAGTGGAGGAGTCTGCTCAGAGGACTGAGGGGAGAGCAGCGGAGGAGTCTGCTCAGAGGACTGAGGGGAGAGCAGTGGAGGAGTCTGCTCAGAGGACTGAGGGGAGAGCAGTGGAGGAGTCTGCTCAGAGGACTGAGGGGAGAGCAGCGGAGGAGTCTGCTCAGAGGACTGAGGGGAGAGCAGTGGAGGAGTCTGCTCAGAGGACTGAGGGGAGAGCAGCGGAGGAGTCTGCTCAGAGGACTGAGGGGAGAGCAGTGGAGGAGTCTGCTCAGAGGACTGAGGGGAGAGCAGTGGAGGAGTCTGCTCAGAGGACTGAGGGGAGAGCAGTGGAGGAGTCTGCTCAGAGGACTGAGGGGAGAGCAGTGGAGGAGTCTGCTCAGAGGACTGAGGGGAGAGCAGCGGAGGAGTCTGCTCAGAGGACTGAGGGGAGAGCAGCGGAGGAGTCTGCTCAGAGGACTGAGGGGAGAGCAGTGGAGGAGTCTGCTCAGAGGACTGAGGGGAGAGCAGCGGAGGAGTCTGCTCAGAGGACTGAGGGGAGAGCAGTGGAGGAGTCTGCTCAGAGGACTGAGGGGAGAGCAGTGGAGGAGTCTGCTCAGAGGACTGAGGGGAGAGCAGCGGAGGAGTCTGCTCAGAGGACTGAGGGGAGAGCAGTGGAGGAGTCTGCTCAGAGGACTGAGGGGAGAGCAGTGGAGGAGTCTGCTCAGAGGACTGAGGGGAGAGCAGTGGAGGAGTCTGCTCAGAGGACTGAGGGGAGAGCAGTGGAGGAGTCTGCTCAGAGGACTGAGGGGGAGAGCAGTGGAGGAGTCTGCTCAGAGGACTGAGGGGAGAGCAGTGGAGGAGTCTGCTCAGAGGACTGAGGGGAGAGCAGTGGAGGAGTCTGCTCAGAGGACTGAGGGGAGAGCAGTGGAGGAGTCTGCTCAGAGGACTGAGGGGAGAGCAGTGGAGGAGTCTGCTCAGAGGACTGAGGGGAGAGCAGTGGAGGAGTCTGCTCAGAGGACTGAGGGGAGAGCAGTGGAGGAGTCTGCTCAGAGGACTGAGGGGAGAGCAGCGGAGGAGTCTGCTCAGAGGACTGAGGGGAGAGCAGTGGAGGAGTCTGCTCAGAGGACTGAGGGGAGAGCAGTGGAGGAGTCTGCTCAGAGGACTGAGGGGAGAGCAGCGGAGGAGTCTGCTCAGAGGACTGAGGGGAGAGCAGTGGAGGAGTCTGCTCAGAGGACTGAGGGGAGAGCAGCGGAGGAGTCTGCTCAGAGGACTGAGGGGAGAGCAGTGGAGGAGTCTGCTCAGAGGACTGAGGGGAGAGCAGTGGAGGAGTCTGCTCAGAGGACTGAGGGGAGAGCAGTGGAGGAGTCTGCTCAGAGGACTGAGGGGAGAGCAGTGGAGGAGTCTGCTCAGAGGACTGAGGGGAGAGCAGCGGAGGAGTCTGCTCAGAGGACTGAGGGGAGAGCAGCGGAGGAGTCTGCTCAGAGGACTGAGGGGAGAGCAGTGGAGGAGTCTGCTCAGAGGACTGAGGGGAGAGCAGCGGAGGAGTCTGCTCAGAGGACTGAGGGGAGAGCAGTGGAGGAGTCTGCTCAGAGGACTGAGGGGGAGAGCAGTGGAGGAGTCTGCTCAGAGGACTGAGGGGAGAGCAGCGGAGGAGTCTGCTCAGAGGACTGAGGGGGAGAGCAGTGGAGGAGTCTGCTCAGAGGACTGAGGGGAGAGCAGTGGAGGAGTCTGCTCAGAGGACTGAGGGGAGAGCAGTGGAGGAGTCTGCTCAGAGGACTGAGGGGAGAGCAGTGGAGGAGTCTGCTCAGAGGACTGAGGGGGAGAGCAGTGGAGGAGTCTGCTCAGAGGACTGAGGGGGAGAGCAGTGGAGGAGTCTGCTCAGAGGACTGAGGGGAGAGCAGTGGAGGAGTCTGCTCAGAGGACTGAGGGGAGAGCAGTGGAGGAGTCTGCTCAGAGGACTGAGGGGAGAGCAGTGGAGGAGTCTGCTCAGAGGACTGAGGGGAGAGCAGTGGAGTGGGAACAAACACTTGCCTGAATTGAACTAAAACAGCATTCAAAAAGAGAAAATACAGTACATGTTCAGCTTGTGTCCCTTTAATCAGAGCAGATCTCGGCTCCGCTTTATGAATATTGCTTTCCTGCATTTCTACATTTGTTTGAAGAGCTGTGGTCCATCCATATTTCAGAGGCCCTCCCCCCGGACCATGAATTACCAATGTGGCCCGTGGCGCTCTGACGCTCGGAAAAGCAAAGGCGTCTGACGGAAGTGGCTCCGCTTTTATGCAGAAAGTCCATAAAGATGAGACGCCAGCGACCTCTGGGATCTGAGCGATAAAGAGGAAATGTACTGAGTCTATAGACCCAGGACTGAGGCTGTAGACCCAGGACTGAGGCTGTAGACCCAGGACTGAGGCTGTAGACCCAGGACTGAGACTGTAGACCCAGGACTGAGGCTGTAGACCCAGGACTGAGGCTGTAGACCCAGGACTGAGGCTGTAGACCCAGGACTGAGGCTGTAGACCCAGGACTGAGACTGTAGACCCAGGACTGAGGCTGTAGACTGTTGTCAAAAATGATTTGACTGACGTGTTCCGAATTTGGTACAGAAATAAGGCCAAGATTTCAAGAGTTAAAATAGAACATTTATTTCTCTTTACAATTAAATGTTGATACAGAACTCTCGGAGCTACTCCCTAAACCTCTATCCCTGTGCTCCAACTCCCCACAATGTGTCCTCCCAACAGTTTTATCAGAATGTCCGATGACGTCACATGGTCTGAGGCTGGTCCCAGTCTGGCCCAGTCCAGTTTTGTGTCTCAGGCCCTGTCCCGATAAGAGAGACACGCTGTTCCTGAAAATGATACTTTAATCACAGAAGCCTTGTCCTTGGTGCTTGTCTGAATTCCACTAAATCCAGGCTTAATATTGCACAAAGACATGTTTGCAAACACCTACTGGAAATCATTAGTATACAGCATTATAATTCTACAACAAGACCCAGGACTAATGTGAGAGGACTTCAGGACAGAGACCTGAGACCAGGACTAATGTGAGAGGACTTCAGGACAGAGACCTGAGACCAGGACTAATGTGAGAGGACTTCAGGACAGAGACCTGAGACCAGGACTAATGTGAGAGGACTTCAGGACAGAGACCTGAGACCAGGACTAATGTGAGAGGACTTCAGGACAGAGACCTGAGACCAGGACTAATGTGAGAGGACTTCAGGACAGAGACCTGAGACCAGGACTAATGTGAGAGGACTTCAGGACAGAGACCTGAGACCAGGACTAATGTGAGAGGACTTCAGGACAGAGACCTGAGACCAGGTTTACTATAATAACATTCAAACTAGAGATTGTTCCAGAATTGTGAATTCTGCACATTAATGTTTAAAGATGAGTCTATTCTGTAATAACCACAGAGCAGCTGTGAAACAAGGTTAACACTTATACTCCCTGAGTGTGACATCACTCCCTAAGTGTGACATCACTCCCTGAGTGTGACATCACTCCCTGAGTGTGACATCACTCCCTGAGTGTGACATCACTCCCTGAGTCCCCGCCTCTGCAGCTGTTCCCTTTGATTCCCTACAGATCCATAGTTTTAACAGGCTCCACTTTGCCAAACGCTCTGAACAATGAGGGCCATGATCACAAAAGCCTTTTCTCACTGTTTTTATGAGTCCCATTAGAAAAAGGCTTTTAAGAAACTGGAGTCCGGCCGTAAACAACCATCAACACTCCAGAGAGACTACCTCAGTATCAATCCACTCAGACTGAGGCTGTAGACCCAGGACTGAGGCTGTAGACCCAGGACTGAGGCTGTAGACCCAGGACTGAGGCTGTAGACCCAGGACTGAGGCTGTAGACCCAGGACTGAGACTGTAGACCCAGGACTGAGGCTGTAGACCCAGGACTGAGGCTGTAGACCCAGGACTGAGGCTGTAGACCCAGGACTGAGGCTGTAGACCCAGGACTGACGCTGTAGACCCAGGACTGAGGCTGTAGACCCAGGACTGAGGCTGTAGACCCAGGACTGAGACTGTAGACCCAGGACTGAGGCTGTAGACCCAGGACTGAGGCTGTAGACCCAGGACTGAGGCTGTAGACCCAGGACTGAGGCTGTAGACCCAGGACTGAGACTGTAGACCCAGGACTGAGGCTGTAGACCCAGGACTGAGGCTGTAGACCCAGGACTGAGGCTGTAGACCCAGGACTGAGACTGTAGACCCAGGACTGACGCTGTAGACCCAGGACTGAGGCTGTAGACCCAGGACTGAGGCTGTAGACCCAGGACTGAGACTGTAGACCCAGGACTGAGGCTGTAGACCCAGGACTGAGACTGTAGACCAGGACTGAGGCTTTAGACCCAGGACTGAGGCTGTAGACCCAGGACTGAGACTGTAGACCCAGGACTGAGGCTGTAGACCCAGGACTGAGGCTGTAGACCCAGGACTGAGGCTGTAGACCCAGGACTGAGGCTGTAGACCAGGACTGACGCTGTAGACCCAGGACTGAGGCTGTAGACCCAGGACTGAGGCTGTAGACCCAGGACTGAGACTGTAGACCCAGGACTGAGGCTGTAGACCCAGGACTGAGGCTGTAGACCCAGGACTGAGACTCTAGACCCAGGACTGACGCTGTAGACCCAGGACTGAGGCTGTAGACCCAGGACTGAGGCTGTAGACCCAGGACTGAGGCTGTAGACCCAGGACTGAGGCTGTAGACCCAGGACTGAGGCTGTAGACCCAGGACTGAGGCTGTAGACCCAGGACTGAGGCTGTAGACCCAGGACTGAGACTGTAGACCCAGGACTGAGACTGTAGACCCAGGACTGAGACTGTAGACCCAGGACTGAGACTGTAGACCCAGGACTGAGACTGTAGACCCAGGACTGAGGCTGTAGACCCAGGACTGAGGCTGTAGACCCAGGACTGAGGCTGTAGACCCAGGACTGAGACTGTAGACCCAGGACTGAGACTGTAGACCCAGGACTGAGACTGTAGACCCAGGACTGAGGCTGTAGACCCAGGACTGAGACTCTAGACCCAGGACTGACGCTGTAGACCCAGGACTGAGGCTGTAGACCCAGGACTGAGGCTGTAGACCCAGGACTGAGGCTGTAGACCCAGGACTGAGACTGTAGACCCAGGACTGAGACTGTAGACCCAGGACTGAGACTGTAGACCCAGGACTGAGACTGTAGACCCAGGACTGAGACTGTAGACCCAGGACTGAGGCTGTAGACCCAGGACTGAGACTGTAGACCCAGGACTGAGGCTGTAGACCCAGGACTGAGACTGTAGACCCAGGACTGAGGCTTTAGACCCAGGACTGAGGCTGTAGACCCAGGACTGAGACTGTAGACCCAGGACTGAGGCTGTAGACCCAGGACTGAGGCTGTAGACCCAGGACTGAGGCTGTAGACCCAGGACTGAGACTGTAGACCCAGGACTGACGCTGTAGACCCAGGACTGAGGCTGTAGACCCAGGACTGAGGCTGTAGACCCAGGACTGAGACTGTAGACCCAGGACTGAGGCTGTAGACCCAGGACTGAGGCTGTAGACCCAGGACTGAGACTCTAGACCCAGGACTGACGCTGTAGACCCAGGACTGAGGCTGTAGACCCAGGACTGAGGCTGTAGACCCAGGACTGAGGCTGTAGACCCAGGACTGAGGCTGTAGACCCAGGACTGAGGCTGTAGACCCAGGACTGAGGCTGTAGACCCAGGACTGAGACTCTAGACCCAGGACTGACGCTGTAGACCCAGGACTGAGGCTGTAGACCCAGGACTGAGGCTGTAGACCCAGGACTGAGGCTGTAGACCCAGGACTGAGACTGTAGACCCAGGACTGAGACTGTAGACCCAGGACTGAGACTGTAGACCCAGGACTGAGACTGTAGACCCAGGACTGAGGCTGTAGACCCAGGACTGAGACTGTAGACCCAGGACTGAGGCTGTAGACCCAGGACTGAGACTGTAGACCCAGGACTGAGGCTGTAGACCCAGGACTGAGACTGTAGACCCAGGACTGAGGCTGTAGACCCAGGACTGAGGCTGTAGACCCAGGACTGAGGCTGTAGACCCAGGACTGAGGCTGTAGACCCAGGACTGAGGCTGTAGACCCAGGACTGAGGCTGTAGACCCAGGACTGAGGCTGTAGACCCAGGACTGAGGCTGTAGACCCAGGACTGAGGCTGTAGACCCAGGACTGAGGCTGTAGACCCAGGAGTGAGGCTGTAGACCCAGGACTGAGGCTGTAGACCCAGGACTGAGGCTGTAGACCCAGGACTGAGGCTGTAGACCCAGGACTGAGACTGTGGACCCAGGACTGAGGCTGTAGACCCAGGACTGAGACTGTAGACCCAGGACTGTAGACGACATCTATTCAAACGTTCAGATCAACACTGATTATCGACCCGCGTCAGTAACGAGCCACAGACAGAGTCATCGCTGTGAGACAAAGATATATTTGTTCAATAAACTGCTTCTTTATCCAGGCCCCGCCTCCTCGATGCCCCGCCCCCGTAGTGTCCCGCCCCCTGAGTGTCCCGCCCCCTCAGTGTCCCGCCCCCTCAGTTTCCCGCCCCCTGAGTGCCCCGCCCCCTCAGTTTCCCGCCCCCTGAGTGTCCCGCCCCCTGAGTGTCCCGCCCCCTCAGTGTCCCGCCCCCTGAGTGTCCCGCCCCCTCAGTGCCCCGCCCCCTGAGTGTCCCGCCCCCTCAGTGCCCCGCCCCCTGAGTGCCCCGCCCCCTCAGTGCCCCGCCCCCTGAGTGCCCCGCCCCCTCAGTGCCCCGCCCCCTGAGTGTCCCGCCCCCTCAGTGCCCCGCCCCCTGAGTGCCCCGCCCCCTCAGTGCCCCGCCCCCTGAGTGTCCCGCCCCCTCAGTGCCCCGCCCCCTCAGTGCCCCGCCCCCTGAGTGCCCCGCCCCCTCAGTTTCCCGCCCCCTGAGTGTCCCGCCCCCTCAGTGTCCCGCCCCCTCAGTGTCCCGCCCCCTCAGTGCCCCGCCCCCTCAGTTTCCCGCCCCCTGAGTGTCCCGCCCCCTCAGTGTCCCGCCCCCTCAGTGTCCCGCCCCCTCAGTGCCCCGCCCCCTCAGTTTCCCGCCCCCTGAGTGTCCCGCCCCCTCAGTGTCCCGCCCCCTCAGTGCCCCGCCCCCTCAGTTTCCCGCCCTCTCTGGCTCCTGTGGGACCTGTGTTCATTACCCCCCTCGGCCCTCACACCAAATAGGTTTTAGTCGACCCTCATCCTGAATCTCGCCTTCCAATTAAGAACAAACGGAAAGATCCCTCTGGGACCCCCCCCCGCCTCGCCTGCTTTGACACACAGTAAAGGCACATGTTTATAGAACACTTGGACCGTTCTCAGTTATTGCTTTAAATTAAATCTGAGACATTTCACTTTTACACATTTCTGCGTCGTTTAGGCCCAAGAGGAATATCTGGACTTTGGAAGGAACAAGTCTGAGGCCTGTGCTCGCTCTGTCTCTCTCTCTCTCTGTCTGTCTGTCTGTCTCTCTCTCTCTCTCTCTGTCTCTCACAAACAAATCCCCCCCCCTGCACCTGTCTCTTAATCCCTGGCTTTGTGCCCATGAGCCTCACATGTGTGAGTGAAGCAACACTAAGAACAGACACAACCTTCACATTCAGCTTTGTGCCATATTTTTTCTAATGGATTCCTTTGAAGCGGCTTCTTTCTTCCACTTGATAAATGCTGCCACTTCTGTGTGAGGTCGGACTCATACAAAATACATTTAATTATCCTCAGATGTGATCATTGAAATGCTTTGGGCTGCGGCTCACTGACCTTCACAGCCAGAGTCCTCCCACTTAATAACCTCAAAATGATGATTAATCTGAGCCAAAAGCAGCAAATGCAAAGAGGCAGCTGGGGCCGGGGGCCCCTGGGAGACTGCAGGGACCGGAGGCCCCTGGGAGACTGCAGGGACCGGGGGCCCCTGGGAGACTTCAGGGGCCGCGGGCCAATGGGAGGCCAGCTCTTTAAAGTGCAGAACAGTTCTTTTAAAGCTGTTTTTATTCTCCTCTGGCTCCAAGGACAAGACTCAGGAATCTCCAGTTCAGACTGACTTTGAAACACTAATTTATACAAGTGTAGGGTAATAATACTACTGATTATGTTATAAGTTATAAATGAAGAATAGTGCGGCTAGTCTCCTAATCAGAGGCTGGCCGTCCTATTCAAGTGGGGGATCTGCTTTTTATTTTTGGGCACCAGCAGAGTTTGAAAAGTCTGCACAGATCCAACTAACTTTGCCTCGAGTCAGTCTTATAATCTAATAGGTAGTGGATGCGTATATCAGCCAGAGATATCCAAGATCTAACAACACGACGCTTAAATGATTGAGTTAAAGTTAACGTGAATTTATTGACTACAAAAATTAAAGATGGAAAATATAACGAAGGGGATTTCTGGTCACATTAAACAGAAGTTGTATACATCTCATTTGAAACACACATCCAACAGGAGCAGTCTTACTTTGAGCCGTTCAAGGGAGATGTTGATGAAAAGAGGAGGATGGAGAATGGAGATGAAAGGATGAGAATGAAGAATAGGATGGAGGCGATGTCCTCGTCCACGTGGTCTTTGTTCGAACAGGGAGCAGGAGGAAGCCGGCAGATCGGATCCAGGCGTGGGTTCCACACACAACACGGTCTAGAATAGCGGTGGGGTGTTCCAGGGAGCCCGAAAGTGGCTGGCGATAGAAGGCCCTCGTCTCCGACAGCGAGAGTGGTTGCTGTCCTCGTGGATGTACAGGCCCGAGATGGTGGCGGGCGTAGGCCGTGTAGGGGACACGTACCGACAGGAGAGTTGCAATAGTGATTTAGGGAGAGCCAAGAGGCAGTCTGTGAGTCCGCGCTTTGGTTTTGTTGTGGTCAAAGTGGGCGCGTCCGTGACGTCATCTTTGGGCGCCCCTTTGAGCCGGCATGTTCACACAGGCGAAACACAACACATATAGACATTCTATCGTTCATAATTATATACCGATACACAGTGCATTCACATCACAGACAACGCCACATACGAGTAGTGTCCGTAACGGTTATCAACATAATGGCATCGGGGAATGTCCGTTTCGAGTGTCCGCCTCGGGTGTGATAGTGTCCGGTATCCGCTGGGGGGCGCCATAACGCCGTGGGTGAGTCGTTGATTGTCCAGGGACAGGAAGGTCCCGGGAGTGAGAGCAGAGTTGTGATCTTTGATCTCTACAGGCAGGCAGAGACAGAGATGTTTATTCCCGTGGTGACTCTATTGCTCTGTTTGACGCCTGTAATCCCCATGATCAATGGCAGTCCTCCGGTCGACCTCGCTGTTCCTTTGAAGCAGCAGTGGGATGTCTCCCTCCTTTTGGTCGAATGTTTACACAGTCCAGGGCCTGGCTCTGTTGTCCGGCCCTGTCCCTTATTTAACCTTACACAAGCACTAAAAACACTAACCCTATCCCTATCCTGTCTGTGACTGTTACCTGCTTTTATTTTGACACTTTAGTTCTAAAGAGTTCTACTTCCTGTCTGCCCCTCCCTCCCTGAGGATGGATCCAGCCCTCTGTGTGGCTCCGTGTGGCTCCTTGTGGCTCTATATGTGGCTCCGTGTGGCTCTACATGTGGCTCCGTGTGGCTCTATATGTGGCTCCGTGTGGCTCTACATGTGGCTCCGTGTGGCTCTACATGTGGCTCCGTGTGGCTCTGTGTGGCTCCATGTGGCTCTGTGTGGCTCCGTGTGGCTCTACACGTGGCTCTGTGTGGCTCTACATGTGGCTCTGTGTGGCTCCGTGTGGCTCCGTGTGGCTCTGTGTGGCTCCGTGTGGCTCCGTGTGGCTCTACATGTGGCTCTGTGTGGCTCTACATGTGGCTCTGTGTGGCTCCGTGTGGCTCTGTGTGGCTCCGTGTGGCTCCTTGTGGCTCCGTGTGGCTCCTTGTGGCTCTACATGTGGCTCCGTGTGGCTCCGTGTGGCTCTACATGTGGCTCTGTGTGGCTCTACATGTGGCTCTGTGTGGCTCTGTGTGGCTCCGTGTGGCTCCGTGTGGCTCTGTGTGGCTCCGTGTGGCTCCTTGTGGCTCCTTGTGGCTCTACATGTGGCTCCGTGTGGCTCTGTGTGGCTCTACATGTGGCTCCGTGTGGCTCTGTGTGGCTCTGTGTGGCTCCGTGTGGCTCCGTGTGGCTCTGTGTGGCTCCGTGTGCACATGGCTCATACAGAGACTGTTGGACACAGACTAAACATCACTCTGATCCAAAGGAACAAACGAGGGACAAAAAGCTTCTGACGATAACTCAATTCTCAGCGATTCGTTGCCATTTGAACCTCCGGATGTGGGGTCAGAGCGGCGGGATATTGACGAGCTTTAGAGGGGGGGGGGCGTCCTCCACGGACCCCCCTGGACCCGTTAGCGAGCGCTGTGATTGATTCAGGCCTTCATAATTAGCCGGCATAATTGAATTAAAGTGTAATTTAACGATACAGTGGGCAGAGACACGGCCGGCTCTGTCAGAGATAGATCAGGAGGGGGCTGGCAGGCGGCGGGGGGGGGGGCAGGCGGGGTATGAGGGGGGGTGAGGGGGGGTGAGGGGGGTGATGGATTCTACCAGCGACGGCGAGACAAGAACAGGCTGCGAGGTTAGCTCAGGAGGCGGACGTTCAAACACAAGAACAGAAACAGAAACATGGTTCTCTGAGATTGATTACATCGTTAGAATCTGAATCATTTGATACTTAGGGTTCATATATACTTATACTTATATATACTTATACATATATATACTTATATACTTATACATATATATACTTATACATATATATACTTATATACTTATACATATATATACTTATACATATATATACTTATATACTTATACTTATACACTTATACTTATATACTTATACATATATATATACTTATATACTTATACATATATATATACTTATATACTTATACATATATGTACTTATATACTTATATACGTATACATATATATACTTATATACTTATACTTATATATATATACTTATCCTTATACAGATATACTTATACTTTGTGACGGGGTGAGCCCGTCCCTGAGCACGCTGTCCCACGGAGCGCATGTGAAGATGCGTGCGCCCGGTGCCATGGTGGCTGCGCGCAACGGCCAAGCCCATTCATTGACTACTGCTAGGGACTGTGTTTGTGACATGTAGCGTGCGTGAACGCGTCTTCAGGTCACACTTGGAAGCGTTGCATGGTGTGTTAAACATGTGTCATTCACTCGCCTGTGCTGGCGTGGTCGTGGCGTCTCCATGGTGCGGTTTGGCAAACCCGGACATAAGGAGCCCGTGGCTTAAATGCACCTGTCTGTGGGTCATGTGACCACAGCTCATTTGCATGGACATTTGGACTCTTTGCAGTGTGTAGCTCATAATGTATTTTATGGTAAATGTGTCAATGTGGAACTGTATTATGAAATCATGAACATAAGGAAATACTCATGTAGTGTAGATATGATGTTTTATTCGATGATTGATTTGTAATGTGGGAGGGGCCAGCAGGGTACAAAAGGTGTGCTTGTCTGCCCCATGGCAGCTGTGACTCATTACAGAGAAGGTAATGTGGACTGCAGGAGCTTGAGTGTAAAGCTATGGAAAAAGAGACTTAGTGTTGAAGTCGTGCATATTTATTGTAAATATCCTTTTTGCCGATAGTCTTTTCACTGTGCTCTGTAAATATGGTTTTTGTAATTTCCCACTGTTTTTCTACTGAGAGTTTTTAATTAAAAACTTCTGAAAACGCCCTTTCCGACCCAGCCATGTGTTCTGTTTTAAACGAACCTTCACATACTTATATATATATACTTATCCTTATACAAATATACTTATACTTATATACTTATATATATACTTATCCTTATGCATAGATACTTATACATATATACTTATACTTATATACTTATACATATATATATACTTATACTTATATACTTATACTTATATACTTATATTTTATATACTTATGCTTATATACTTATACATATATACTTATATACTTATACTTATATACTTATCCTTATACATATATACTTATACTTATATACTTATACATATATACTTATCCTTATACATATATACTTATACTTATATACTTATACATATATACTTATCCTTATACATATATACTTATACTTATATACTTATATATACTTATCCTTATACATATATACTTATACTTATATACTTATACTTATATACATATATACTTATACATATATACTTATCCTTATACATATATACTTATCCTTATACATATATACTTATCCTTATACATATAAACTTTATCCTTATACATATATACTTATACTTATATATATACTTATATTTATACATATATACTTATCCTTATACATATATACTTATCCTTATATCCATATATACTTATCCTTATACATATATACTTATCCTTAACTTATCCTTATACATATATACTTATACTTATATATACTTATACTTAGACATATATACTTATCCTTATACTTATACTTATATATATACTTACACTATACTTATCCTTATACATATATACTTATCCTTATATATATACTTATATACTTATCCTTATACATATAACTTATCCTTATACATATATACTGCCCCCCCCAGCAGTATACTCACTTCCTCAACAACATCCTCCTCAGGCGCCGCAAAGATGGGAAAGAACCAACTTCATTCTTTAACAGCAGCTGTGAACCTGAACCTAGAGCTCCGCGTGGTCTCGTTTGGACCAAGGAGTAGAATCCTCCTCCGTTAGCGAAGCACACGTAGCTAGTTAGCTACCAGCCGCCATTGTTGTTTACGTTTATTCTACTGCACATGTCCAAATGTACGTGCGGGGAGCAGCGGGAGGTGCGGGTCAGAGCAGAACACCTTTTCAGGCGGGTGTGAAAGAGCGCCCCCTGCTGAGCATCTGATCTGTCCCACTCTGAGGCTGGAGCTGAACACTTATGTTTTCACCTGGAACAGTCTCCATGGAAACGGGAGGCGGCAACCGACATCAACTGTAGTTTTACTGCTGCTCCGTCTAAACCAGACCGAGACTGAGACGAGCCCGAGACGAGCCCGAGACGACGAGACCCGAGACGAGCCCGAGACGAGACTGAGACGAGCCCGAGACGAGACTGAGACGTGACTGAGACGAGACTGAGACGAGACTGGGACGAGACTGAGACGAGCCCGAGACGAGCCCGAGACGAGCCCGAGACGAGCCCGAGACGAGACTGAGACGTGACTGAGACGTGACTGAGACGTGACTGAGACGTGACTGAGACGAGCCTGAGACGAGACTGGGACGAGACTGAGACGAGCCCGAGACGAGACTGAGACGAGACTGGGACGAGACTGGGACAAGACTGGGACAAGACTGGGACGAGACTGAGACGAGCCTGAGACGAGACTGGGACGTGACTGAGACGAGACTGAGACGTGACTGAGACGTGCCTAAGACGAGCCTGAGACGAGCCTGAGACGAGCCTGAGACGAGCCTGGGACGAGACTGCGACGAGCCCGAGACGAGACCGAGACGAGACCGGGACGAGACCGGGACGAGACTGAGACGTGACTGAGACGTGACTGAGACGAGCCCGAGACGAGCCTGAGACGAGCCTGAGACGAGCCTGGGACGAGACTGCGACGAGCCCGAGACGAGACCGAGACGAGACCGGGACGAGACTGGGACGAGACTGAGACGTGACTGAGACGAGCCCGAGACGAGCCCGAGACGAGCCCGAGACGAGCCCGAGACGAGACTGGGACGAGACTGGGACGAGACTGGGACGAGACTGAGACGTGACTGAGACGAGCCCGAGACGAGCCCGAGACGAGCCCGAGACGAGACTGGGACGAGACTGAGACGAGCCCGATACAAGCACCGTCTCCTCGCCGTCTCCTCGCCGCCCCCTCGCCGCCTCCTCGCCGCCTCCTCGCCGCCTCCTCGCCGCCTCCTCGCCGTCTCCTTGCCGCCTCCTCGCCGTCTCCTTGCCGCCTCCTCGCCGTCTCCTCGCCGCCTCCTCGCCGCCTCCTCGCCGTCTCCTCGCCGCCTCCTCGCCGTCTCCTCGCCGCCTCCTCGCCGCCTCCTCGCCGTCTCCTCGTCGCCCCCTCGCCGTCTCCTCGCCGCCTCCTCGCCGTCTCCTCGCCGCCTCCTCGCCGTCTCCTCGCCGCCTCCTCGCCGCCCCCCTCGCCGCCTCCTCGCCGCCTCCTCGCCGCCTCCTCGCCGCCTCCTCGCCGTCTCCTCGCCGCCTCCTCGCCGTCTCCTCGCCGCCTCCTCGCCGCCCCCTCGCCGTCTCCCTCGCCGCCTCCTCGCCGCCTCCTCGCCGCCTCCTCGCCGCATCCTCGCCGTCTCCTCGCCGTCTCCTCGCCGCCTCCTCGCCGCATCCTCGCCGTCTCCTCGCCGCCTCCTCGCCGTCTCCTCGCCGCCTCCTCGCCGCCTCCTCGCCGTCTCCTCGCCGCATCCTCGCCGCCTCCTCGCCGCCTCCTCGCCGTCTCCTCGCCGCCTCCTCGCCTCATCCTCGCCGCCTCCTCGCCGCCTCCTCGCCGTCTCCTCGCCGTCTCCTCGCCGTCTCCTCGCCGCCTCCTCGCCGCCTCCTCGCCGTCTCCTCGCCGCCTCCTCGCCGTCTCCTCGCCGCCTCCTCGCCGCCTCCTAGCCGTCTCCTCGCCGCCTCCTCGCCGTCTCCTCGCCGCCTCCTCGCCGCCTCCTCGCCGTCTCCTCGCCGCCTCCTCGCCGTCTCCTCGCCGCCTCCTTGCCGTCTCCTCGCCGCATCCTCGCCGCCTCCTCGCCGTCTCCTCGCCGTCTCCTCGCCACCTCCTCGCCGCCTCCTCGCCGCCTCCTCGCCGTCTCCTCGCCGTCTCCTCGCCGCCTCCTTGCCGCCTCCTCGCCGCCTCCTCGCCGTCTCCTCGCCGCCTCCTCGCCGTCTCCTCGCCGTCTCTTCGCCGCCTCCTCGCCGTCTCTTCGCCGCCTCCTCGCCGTCTCCTCGCCGCCTCCTCGCCGCCTCCTCGCCGCCTCCTCGCCGCCTCCTCGCCGCCTCCTCGCCGTCTCCTCGCCGCCTCCTCGCCGTCTCCTCGCCGTCTCTTCGCCGCCTCCTCGCCGTCTCCTCGCCGCCTCCTCGCCGTCTCCTCGCCGTCTCCTCGCCGCCTGCGGCCTCAGACACACTGATCTGTGGCACAGGGATATCCTTTGGGATTAGTGCGAGGGGAGCGAGGCGAGAGTGGAGGTAAAGGTTGTTGCCTTCTACAATGCCTTGCTGAGGCGGCGTTGCAGAATCCGCAGGGGTATTTGCGGTGCTTTGGTTGGATTCTTCTTAAGCCGCGGCGAGTGATGGCAGACTGCGAATTAGCTCATGCTCTGCCTTCATGATGCGAACAAAGTGAGGAAGACGAGGCTGACTCAACTGCGGCTGCTGTGACTGGCAGCTTGTTTGAAGAAGTTTTAGCATCTGTCAAACTGAACTCTGGAATAACTCTGCAGATGGAATCCTCTGTTTAGTCGAGTTTAACATTCCAGCTCGTCTCCCATCCTCAAAGGCTTTGGTTCTTTTACTAAGACACAAGTGTAACCTCGTCCTTTCGAGCCGCAATCAACTTTTTACCACCAATGGCCTGTTCTCGTTGGGGCGACAGTAGCTCAGTTGGTAGAGCATTGGCCTTCTGGCCTGAAGGTTGTGGGTTCAATTCCCACCTCCACACCTTCTCCACCGACTCCCACTGATGACTGCTGTCGTTGTGTCCTTGGGCAAGACACTTAACCCCACTTTGCCCAAAGCCCCCACTGAAAGATCAAGGCTATGCTCACAGTCAGAGAGCAGCCGTCCTCCTGTGGACTCACCACCTGCAGAGGGTCAGTGAGGGGCTGGTGCTATGAGACTTGGGTGGCATCTCTGACTGCCACCCCCCTGACCCAGAAATGGATTAAAGGGAAGAAAATGGATGGATGGATGGATGGCCTGTTCTCGACTAAGGCCCCGGGGCCCATTGTGGCCGGCTGTGTCATGTTCTGTGGCCAGTGTTTATACTTTTCTCTTGTTCATTTACACTTTTTAAAACACACATTTACAAAGTGCTGCAGACAACAATAACACTTTAAAATCTACAGGTCCAACAGTTTGTGGTTCTCGAGGGAGCACAGTAGAATCCTGGTTAAACTCAAACCCGACAGTCTTAACTTGATGTGTCCTGTTTGTGCGTTGGTCTCCAGGACTCACGGATTACAAGTCAATCGTCTGGAGCCCGGAGGCAAAGCCGAGCAGGAGCGTCTGTTCCAGGAAGGAGACACCATCGTCAAGATCAACCAGGCCGATATCCGCAACCTGCGCTTCGAACAGTCAGTCTGCTCCCAATACTATAATGTTATTCACTTACTGATGTCAGCCAATCATAGACTGTATACAGATGCTAATGCTAACACAGACTGTATACAGATGCTAATGCTAACACAGACTGTATACAGATGGACAGAGCTAACACAGACTGTAAACAGATGCTAATGCTAACAACGATGCCACTTTACAGAAATTACCATAAAGGTTTGTAGCAGCAGCCATACCATGTGTCACTCGGCTGTAGATATTGCACAGCTGTAGAGATTGCACAGCTGTAGATATTGCACAGCTGTAGAGATTGCACAGCTGTAGAGATTGCACAGCTGTAGAGATTGCACAGCTGTAGAGATTGCACAGCTGTAGAGATTGCACAGCTGTAGATATTGCACAGCTGTGGATATTGCACAGCTGTAGAGATTGCACAGCTGTAGATATTGCACAGCTGTAGAGATTGCACAGCTGTAGAGATTGCACAGCTGTAGATATTGCACAGCTGTAGATATTGCACAGCTGTAGATATTGCACCTCTCAAAGCGAGGGTCTAATCTCCTGCCGTTGTTTTGGGGGTAAATATTTTCAGGCCTAATCTGTGTGAGTGTAATGACACGAAGGAGTCATTTATTATTCAATCAGACTCACGCAGAGACTGATTACTCAAGTGTGTGTGTGTGTGTGTGTGTGTGTGTGTGTGTGTGTGTGTGTGTGTGTGTGTGTGTGTGTGTAGACAGCAGTGTCTGTGTGTGTGTGTGTGTGTGTGTGTGTGTGTAGACAGCAGTGTCTGTGTGTGTGTGTGTGTGTGTTGTGTAGACAGCAGTGTGTGTGTGTGTGTGTGTGTGTAGACAGCAGTGTGTGTGTGTGTGTGTGTGTGTGTGTGTAGACAGCAGTGTGTGTGTGTGTGTGTGTGTGTAGACAGCAGTGTGTGTGTGTGTGTGTGTGTGTGTGTGTGTGTAAACAGCAGTGTGTGATCTCACATTTACATAAATAAAACATATGAGAGGATGGTCCTGGGATGAAGAGCGACACAGCAGCTCCTGGATAGAAACAATACTGTCTCAGAGAGAGACCAGAGACCAGAGAGAGACCAGAGACCAGAGAGAGACCAGAGACCAGAGACCAGAGAGAGACCAGAGACCAGAGAGAGACCAGAGACCAGAGAGAGACCAGAGACCAGAGAGAGACCAGAGACCAGAGACCAGAGAGAGACCAGAGACCAGAGAGAGACCAGAGACCAGAGAGAGACCAGAGACCAGAGACCAGAGAGAGACCAGAGACCAGAGAGAGACCAGAGACCAGAGAGAGACCAGAGACCAGAGAGAGACCAGAGACCAGAGACCAGAGAGAGACCAGAGACCAGAGAGAGACCAGAGACCAGAGACCAGAGAGAGACCAGAGACCAGAGAGAGACCAGAGACCAGAGAGAGACCAGAGACCAGAGACCAGAGAGAGACCAGAGACCAGAGACCAGAGAGAGACCAGAGACCAGAGAGAGACCAGAGACCAGAGACCAGAGAGAGACCAGAGACCAGAGAGAGACCAGAGACCAGAGACCACAGAGAGACCAGAGACCAGAGACCATTATATGCTAATATTACCTAATTATATGCTAATACCAGAGAGAGACCAGAGACCAGAGAGAGACCAGAGACCAGAGACCAGAGAGAGACCAGAGACCAGAGAGAGACCAGAGACCAGAGACCACAGAGAGACCAGAGACCAGAGAGAGACCAGAGACCAGAGAGAGACCAGAGACCAGAGAGAGACCAGAGAGAGACCAGAGACCAGAGACCAGAGAGAGACCAGAGACCAGAGAGAGACCAGAGAGAGACCAGAGACCATTATATGCTAATATTACCTAATTATATGCTAATACCAGAGAGAGACCAGAGACCAGAGAGAGACCAGAGACCAGAGACCAGAGAGAGACCAGAGACCAGAGAGAGACCAGAGACCAGAGACCAGAGAGAGACCAGAGAGAGACCAGAGAGAGACCAGAGAGAGACCAGAGAGAGACCAGAGAGAGACCAGAGAGAGACCAGAGAGAGAGACCAGAGAGAGACCAGAGAAAGAAACTTTAAATAACAGTAAGTTATGGTCTCTGTAGTCCCAGTCCAACATGGTTCGCCGCTATCTCCTCGACAGCAGTGAGTTTGAAGGAGACTCATCCAGACCCTGACCATGTTTCACAAGAACCATCAACAGCGGCTCTGCTGTTTGCAGATAGATGGGACATGGTTAGATGCAAAGGCCCACAGTAGATAATTTGGCACTGATGGTAGCAGGTGAGATTGCTGGTTCCCCCTGGTGTTTGTTGGTCTGGTCTCAGCCTCTCACAGCCAGACAATCTATATGCTAAGTACCCCGCTATGGCAGCTGTAATAGGCTCTTCCACAACACACACCAGGGCTGTCTGAGACTGAACCATGTGAGACTGAACCATGTTAGACTGAACCATGTGAGACTGAACCATCTGAGACTGGACCATCTGAGACTGAACCATCTGAGACTGAACCATCTGAGACTGAACCATCTGAGACTGAACCATCTGAGACTGGACCATCTGAGACTGGACCATCTGAGACTGAACCATCTGAGACTGGACCATCTGAGACTGAACCATGTGAGACTGAACCATGTTAGACTGAACCATCTGAGACTGGACCATCTGAGACTGGACCATCTGAGACTGAACCATCTGAGACTGAACCAT